CATACCATGGGGCTTCACACTACCTACTTGACGATGACAGAACGACAATACACCGTTGATTTTCATTACTAGACCGCATTCCAGGCACTCTACCGTCCCTAGAATATGGAGGAGGAGTGCGAGGCTGGCCGCACCAACGCGGTTAAGCTGCGGCCCCCGTGGGGGATCATGCATACTCTCCTAGCCCGGTCCGTCATCCCTAGCTCGCAGTTGGGCCATCTGATAACGAGTAGAGGTTTGCTTTCCCTCCAGTCTAAGAGGCATCCAACAGAGCCGCTCCACCTGGGATCGCTGGTGGCCACCACTTTCGTCCAGTGTTTGGGACGAAACAGGGTGGACATCATGCACATGGGGGGCATCATCATGAGGCTGGCCCGACACTTTCACGTGGATTTGGAGAGGTTCTCCATCGTTAGCCGAACCGAGCCCTTCCCAGTATTGACCCTGTACAACATAAAGCTGGTGCTTCAGGGAGAGAGAGCGATAGATTACCTCGACGGGCTTCGACTCTCGGCAGTCATGAGACCAACAGTTGACCCAGCTCTAGTAGAGCTTGATGCAGAAGTCCCACCTCCATAGAAGCCACCTACTCGAGCTCCTGACCGCCGCCAGCATCCAACGCTCCAGCACCCTGTACCACCACTACCAGCAGCAGCACCATCAGGTGGCAGTCCTTCTGCTTTCGAGGTGCCCCTCGTGGAGAGGATGGACTGTTTTCAGACCCATGTCGTGGGAGTCATTTCCCGGCTCGAGCGGCAGACCGACTTGCTTGAGCGGATTGCTCTTCGCTAGGGCGTCCTTCCAGTTGATGAGCCGGGGCCTTCAACTTAGTGAGAGGTAGCCGATGAGTGAGACATGTGGCAGAGCTGATTCCTTTCACCCCACTTCTCCACTTGGAACTCTGAATTTTGTTGTTTTATTTTTCTTTCTTTTATTTAGTATGTGTGAACTACTACTAATATCGTATTATTTTGTGTAATAACCTCGCCTCGAGCGAGTATGTGGTGTGTTTGTGTGTATGTTTTTGTCTTCTCCTTGAAGATAAACTCTCCTACCCCGATAAATTCCAACATTCACTCACCAAGCCAAGCGGTAACATCATTCTACCCCTATCTTACGCCATTGAGGGAAGTGTCTAACTTAAGTGTGTGTGTGTGGGGGGGGGGGGGGGGGTAATTTATTATTATGTTCGTGTGAGTGTGATTGATGCTTGTAGCCTTGATGTATGCCCAAATTTGAAAATTTTGAGGGCTGCAAGCAATGTTTGCACGATCAAAGTGTCCGGTTTGTAGGAGAATCTCGTGTTTATTGGCATTAACCTTCAATTGTTGAATGTGATCGAGTGTGTCCTATGACGATGACTAAGAGGTGCATTAGGATACCACAAAAGTTTAACTCTCATGTGTGCAAAAATGAATGGATGTCTTGACTCGATTACTTGTTGAGTACAATTGCCATGCATTGTGTTTTGTGAAATTAGAATGGATGATTGGGTGACTAGGTTGCCATGTGAGTTTTGAGCCGATCGTTTTCTTCTTGTGTGCTTAGATCCCTCTTACCATGGCGAGTATCATCACATTTGTCACTAGTGAGTATGATGGAGGCATAGGATTAGTCCACGCCCAAATGTTGAGTGTCCCGAAATGCTTTATCCCCTAGTAAACCCCTTTGAGCCTTGTGACTTTGGGGGTCGTTTTCTTGTAGGAGCTTTTTGCTTGTGAGCTTAATGATGTTTGATAGAACGACCCCCATCCTTTCTTCGTGTCTAAATGTGAGTTGTCCTTGTGTCCCGGAGTTCTCGCTTTTGAGTTTCATTGAGGTTCTACATAGGAGGATTGTGTGCGGTTCTTGCTAGGAATGAAAGAGAAAAGAGTAGTGTTGGTGTAAGTTCTCAAAAGAGAGCATTGGTTGTTAAAGGTAATGTGGCAAGTGTTTAACTCTCTAGTGCCACAAAAGAATTAAAGAGTATGCTCTGAGTGAGGTTTCTTGGCACTCAAGCTATTGAAACCCCCCCCCCCCCACATTGTTTTAGAATTCCGTTACTACCAAGTCGAAATGTGATAGCAAGAGTAGACCGAGGAAGAGCGCTTAAAGGAAGTTCATGACGAGTGATAGTTGGAAGGGAGAAGCAAGGTTTTTGGCCGATGCGAGTGGCCATTGTTTGTAGGGAAGGTTCTTAGCCGAAACCATAGAAACTTCGGGTTAGGGTGAAGATGTAGGAACTCATGATGTGTATGCCACCACCCAAAAATCCTTTTCCCCATGTCCAAGACAATTGCCAGTCATTTGAACCCGTGTCTAAGACCTCTGGACAAGCTAGTGATGACAACCGTCCCGTGAACTCTAACATTTAGAGGTTTCTGCCGTGGTGAAGAGAAGATAGGGCCCAGTGTTGATGATTGTGCATATTCTTTGCACCAAAAAGGTCCCGACCCCACTGGTCAAGAGAGTGAGTGATTCATTCTTGCTTTGTATGTCATATCATACCCTGGTGAGGACCTTTGTTGCCCATTCATTTGTTCCACGGACTTGATTGTCATGCATGGTTAGTTGTGACTGATAAGTGATTTTGTTGAGACTTGCATTGATTCATGAACAAGGTGGGATCTTTTTGTTTGCCCATTTTTGCTGATCTCGAATGTTGTTTGTGGTGGATGTCGGTATTGCTTGCAACGATCCATGTGTTAATTGCCAATAGCCATTGAGATTCACCACTTTGTTCCCTTTGATTTGTCTCCAAAGCATTTTGTTAGGTTGAGATATTACCTTGTGTAAAATGGTTTGTTTGGGGACAAGCAAACGTCTAAGTGTGGGGGAGGGATTCAGGCCTAATTGTACACTTTTTATCCCCGTTTCTCTTTGAAGTTTGTTGCAATTGAGATCTAGAAGGGGTGGTTTTACGCCAGGTTTCTTGTGTTTCATTGTGTTACAGATTCTAACAGGTGAAACCAACCCCGAAGTCGAAAGTTGGAAGAAAAAGAGCAAAGACCGGGCAAAGAGGAGGAAACGGCCTGTGTTCACGTTCTACCTGTAGAAATTAAGAATGCGAAAGAAAGAACGCGAGATTTACGTGGTTTCCTCGTTCAGTGAGAACGAGACTAGTCCACGGAGAACGTGAGTTCTCGGCTGAGCTATTATTCACTCTTTTAGGTTTTCTGTTCTTAAGGAAGGCGTATAAGCCTCTTCCCCTTAAGTACACGAGACCAACAACCCTAACAGCTTGAAACACGGGTTTGATGGTAAAGTACAAAATGCACCCAAAACTTAATAATAAGTCTAGGAATCCCAACACTCCCCCTCAAGCGAAGGAATGAATGTCAAGAAGACCGAGCTTGACAAGTAGATGCGAGAACTGATCGACACTGAGTCCCTTAGTAAAAATGTCAGCCGATTGGTCTTGAGTAGCAATCTTGAGAGGAATAATGTCACCTGACTGGACTCTTTCCCGGATGAAGTAGCAATCCATTTCAACGTGTTTGGTGCGTTCATGGAAGAGTGGGTTCGCCAAGATATGGAGAGCAGCCTAATTGTCACCATAAAGGGGAGTTGGTTGGGAAAGTGAAACGCCAAGGTCATGCAAAAGCCAGCGAAGCCACAAGACTTCGCTAATGGTGCTAGCCATAGCCCGATATTCTGCTTCGGCCGAGGATCGCGCTACCATTGATTGTTTCTTGGTTCGCCAGGAGACATGTGATGCCCCGAGCTTGATGAAATAGCCAGTGGTAGAGCGACGGGTGAGCGGGCAGCCTGCCCAGTCGGCGTCGCAATAAGCTGTGAGAGAGAGGTCAGCCGAGACAGGAAGGAACAGACCGCGTCCTGTGAACGTCTTGAGGTACCGCAACACACGATTGGCTGTATCAACGTGTGCTTGCGTAGGGGAATGAACTGCCTGACTGAGTATGTTGACAGCATAGGTAATGTCAGGACGCGTAACGGTCAGGTAGAGCAGTCTGCCTACCAACCGACAAAAAGAAGCAGGAGCAGCTGCGGGAGATGAAGGATCGCGGCCGAGCCGATGATTCTGTTCAATAGGAGTCGGACTAGGGCGAGAAGCTGTGAGTCCGGATTCAGCCAATATATCTAGCACATATTTGATAGTGAAGCGAGCATGGAGAAAATCCTTGACTCGCTTAATAAAAATCATGTCATTACCTGTCAAGATAACATTATCAACATATATGAGGGCTGCAACAAAACTGGTACCGCGCCTATACGTGAAGAGAGCATGATCAGCTTGGCTCTGGACGAAATGAAGCTCCAACAAGGCGTGAGTAAACTTTTGGTACCAATTTCGGGATGCCTGACGTAAACCATATATCGATTTACGAAGCCGACAAACACGAGTGTCACCGGGAGTCGAGAAACCTTGAGGAATAGCCATGTATACTTCTTCATCCAGATCCCCATGAAGAAAAGCGTTGTTGACGTCAAGCTGATGAATAAACCAGCCTTTGCTGACCGCAACAGTGAGCAAACAACAGACAGAGACCAGCTTGGCGATGGGAGCAAACGTGTCATGATAGTCAATGCCTTCGATCTGGGTAAAACCTTTGGCAACAAGACGAGCTTTGTACCGCTCAATCGTACGATCTGCATTGAACTTGATCTTGTACACCCATTTGCATGCAATGGCCTTCTTCCCAGGAGGAAGATGACACAAAATCCACGTGCCATATGCCTCAAGGGCACGATATTCTACAATCATGGCCTGCCGCCAATGTTCGTGACGCACCGCCTGATAGAAGAAACGAGGCTCGTCATGGCACGTGACAGCTGCGACAAATGCATGATGAGCCTGTGAAAGGCGTTGATAAGTGAGGTAGTCTTCAATTGGGTAGGTGGTTGTGGTAGAGCCAAAAAAACCGGGTAGATCCACATCAAAACCGCGCAACCGATTTGAAGGTTGGCGCTGGCGATCACCACGCCGCAGGGTAGGTGCCTCGGGAGCTGAAGGTGGCTCGGGAGAACTAGAGGGAGCTGCGGGCCGAGCCATAGCGGGCATGGGTGAAGAAGAACCCTCATTTTCAAGACCTGGTGATGGAGGATGTGAAGAAGCATTCCCGCCAGGCAAAAGTGGAGTAGGGCTGTGTGGGAAGGAGGCAGTATCCTCGCCAGGTGAAGAAGGGGCTGGGCTGGGAGGCGAAATGGCGCCAGAGGTGTCGGGCTCACCTATGGGCAGTGGGGTAGAGGAAGGAGCAACTGGTTCCTCGTCCCAAATAGGTTCAGCCATCACAGGAGGAGGCCGAGAAGGCATAGCCTACAGGAATGATAGCGAAGAATCAGTGCTCAACTGATAGGGGCAGATGTCTTCTAAAAACTTAACATCACGGGACGTATAAATACGCCGGGCTTCGAGATCAAACACTCGGTACCCTCGCTGTGTGCTTGGATAGCCGACAAAGACACAGGCACGACCTCGTTCGGAGAACTTGTCCAAGCCATGATGATTGTCTCGAGCATAGACGAGACAACCGAAATTCCGCAAGTGATGATAACTGGGATCCTTGCCGAACATGATCTGAAAAGGTGATCGATTTCCTGTCGTCACCAGTGGCATACGATTAATTAAGTAGGCTGCAGTAAGAATGCACTCTCCCCAGAATTCGAGAGGCAAATTCGCCTGAAATCGCAACGCCCTCGCAGTCTCTAAGAGATGACGATGTTTCCTTTCTACGACGCCATTTTGCTACGAAGTGTCAGTACACGACGTCTGTAGTATAATGCAAGACTGCTCATAATAAGTCCGGAGCTCATTCGTCGCGAATTCCGGACCATTATCGGCTTGTATGCGCCGCACCACTTTTCCAAACTATCGCTGAATCATATGGAAAAATGACAATAAAGTGCGCGCAACATCAGATTTAAAACGTAACAAATAGACCCAAACTGCTCTGCTGTAATCGTCCACAATCGTCAAAAAATACTACCCACCAGAGAAAGATGGAACAGGATATCCTCCCCAAATATCCAAATGTATGAGTTCAAAACAAGACGAAGTCGTGATCGAGCTAGATGTAAAAGGATCACGAGCTTGCTTTGCTCGAATACAAGAATGACACGGTGAATTCCGCTGCAAAAGAGGTGTCGAAATGTACTTTAGTAAAATAGATAACTTCGCCATGGACGGATGCCCCAAACGAGCATGCCAAAGAGTCGTCTTATCAACTGCCTGACGTGCGGTATGTGTCACTGGATGCTACCCATCAAACAGTCTGAGATAATACAGCCCATCCACGTGCTTACCCATCCCAATCAGCTTCCTGGAGGGTAAGTCCTGAACAATGCAGAAGTCACAAAGAAATATCAAGGCTACAGGTAGATCAGCCGTAAGCCTACTGACGGAGAGTAAATTGCACAGAAAATCTGGTACGTGCAATACTCGCCGAAGAGATAAATCATTAGATAATTGGACAGAACCAATACGATGAATAGGGACCCCTGTCCCATTGGGAATTCGGACTTGTAAAGCCGGAGGTGACTCCAGCTCATTCAGCAACAAAGATTTATCATTCACTATGTGTTCATTACAACCAGAATCTATAACCCATGAAGAATTGTGTATAGAGCACGTACCTGCCATATTTGAAACAGGATCGGCTGAGCTAGGTTGTGCAGCTCGCAAATCCGTCTTGAGGAAGGACTGGAGCTGCCGCAGTTGCGCCATCGTGAGGCCAGGGATAGGGCTAGTGTCGGACTCGGCCTCGACCGCGGCAGCTTGAGGTGACGTACGCTGCCCGCGATCAGTCTTGCGCTTATTTTGTGCATCGCCCTCCTTGCGTGGAGGATAACCGATGAGTTTGTAGCAAGTCTCTCGGTAATGGCTAGGTTTTTGGCAATGGCTGCACACTGGTTTGCCATCAGTGTTACGCTCCCCCACCTTCATCATGCGATCGGGTTTCTTCTCCCCCTGAGCTTGAAAGGCGGCAACATCCGTTCGAGGACGTCTTCTGCTGGTTATGTGCCGCTGTTGTTTCTCGTTCATAATAAAATGATAAGCTTCTCCTAGGCTAGGGATAGGCTTCATAGCAAGAATCTGGGTCCGAACAGTACCAAAAGCATCATCAAGACCCATTAGAAAGTCAAATAAACGCTCACCTTCCTTTGCTTCTCTTTGGCGGCGTTTGACGTCACACGTGCAGCCTCCACATGTGCACTCAAGTGAGGGCGCTAAAGAACTAATCTCGTCCGAGAGCCCTCTCAATTTTGTATAAAAGGTCGCCACAGAGGTCTTCTCCTGATGTAGCTGAATGATAGTGCTCTTTAACTCGTACATTCGAGATGCACTACCATGGCCGAATCGAGCCTGCAAGTCAACCCAGATTTCCCTCGCCGTTTTTGCAAATCTAACACTACTGTGGATGTTCTTTGTCATTGCGGTTTTGAGCCAGCCCTTGACCATAGCATCCGCTTGTTTCCAAGCATCATAATCCTTGCCACCACTCTCCGGCGCGATTATGGAACCATCAACAAAACCCAGTTTGTTTTTGGCAATGAAAGAGTCCGAGATATCTCCTACCCACTCACCATAATTAGTCTCTGTGAGTAGTTCGCCAACGAAGAGTTGGCTAGGGTTGTCGGAGGTGTGGAGCATGAACGGGGACGGTCGCTGGGTCGCGCCACTGCTAACGCTGCCACCGCTGCCGCTGTTGTTGAAACTAACAGCGCTGTCACCTCCTAACATGATGATAACTAGCCGTGGATTTAATCACAGCTCTGATACCATGTAGAAATTAAGAATGCGGAAGAAAGAACGCGAGATTTACGTGGTTTCCTCGTTCGGTGAGAACGAGACTAGTCCACGGAGAACGTGAGTTCTCGGCTGAGCTATTATTCACTCTTTTAGGTTTTCTGTTCTTGAGGAAGGCGTATAAGCCTCTTCCCCTTAAGTACACGAGACCAACAACCCTAACAGCATGAAACACGGGTTTCATGGTAAAGTACAAAATGCACCCTAAATTTAATAATAAGTCTAGGAATCCCAAAACTACCATTGGAGTTCACAGCGCCAGGACCATGAACTGGAGCCACAACCCGTGAACCAAGAAGCGTTCAGAGGGCTTTCTGAGGTTACTAATGCTAAGGCTGCTCACGATCGCTAAGAAAAGAGATTATTGAATCTTCCATTGATTGTTTTTATTCCAAAACCAAAGTTCATATGAAAAGAGATTACACGATGCAATTAAAGGCCTTGAATCCATAAATAATTCATAATTATAAATCCAAGAATGCTTTATTTCTTTTGTTACCCCCGAGTGAACTTAATACCTATATATGATATAGCATGTACAATACAAATAAAATCAAATTTCTTGGGGATCAATGCATCAGATAGAGAAGGCACATTCAGAAATCAGAATGGTGAGCCAATTGAAAAAAACAGGTGGTTATACTTTTGGAAATCGTAGGTTCACCAAAGTGATCAATTAACGTATGTGCGAGAATGAGCGGGGATAACTTCAAGGTCGCCAAGGAGGCGGAGGAGGTGGGCTCTGCGGGTAAAGTGGTGGAACCGCTTCAAAAATGGAGTTCTTGTCGATGCCGTAGTTGGCATCGGTGACAGTGAGGGACACGAGTGCGGCGACCAGACCAGCATTCCCAGCTAAGGTCGGCTCGGTGTAGCTGTAATTGTTTCGAGAGTCATGGAAATGGTCGAACCTATCTGGTCCTCCGACCATGGCACCAGTCACGTTATTAGGATTGGGCTTGCTGCTGTCCTTCCACTTCCACCCGCCGGTGCACGAGTACCTTCTCTTGTTGTGTGGGATTGATGCCCCTCTGTGATGTACGTGTCTCGGAAACTTGTCACCATACCCAACTATGTAGCTCATTTTCAACGGATTCTTCCCCATGATATAATCCACCTGCACGTATAAACGAGGAATTAGTTCATAATTAAACCAAACCTAAATAAGCACATGAAACTGAATATAATTATTTCTTTCTTTTTCAATGTCGCCTTGGTCATCACTATATCGTTAAATTTTTTAAAGATTGGCTTAAATCCTGATAATCCCCTTGGTATAAGATAATTTATGCTAATGATGATCCATTTATCTCATCCATGCATATATATATATATATATATATGATAAATGCACTGAAAAACACGATTCTATGTACAAGCGTTTTGGTGACTTATAAGCGTAAAAGCATAACGTTTTAAACTTTAAAGCGGAATTTTGAATATCTTGTATCTTATCGAAGCATGGACCGTGAGAGTTTAAACTTTAAAGGGTTTGGAAGAAGTTGAGGAAGAATAAAGGGAGGGGATGAAAGAATGATTTGGGGTCGCTTGGATGGATTAATTGTCAGTATGGTATTTGTAAGTCAAATAATTCATTAATTTTCATGTGATATTTCAGTGTTATTTCAGTGGTAAATCAATCAAATTATCTCGTTTGGTAGAACAATTCGTATGTGGTATTTTGCAAAAATATAAGGATAAAATGAGTTATTTTGAAATAACATAGGGGCATGAGTTATTTCAAGTCATTTTTAGTTATTTTAAATATTAATAATAGTTATCATTTAAAAAGATAAAAAAATATTACTAGCTGATCCGTATATCGATCAATCCCTTATTCTTTGGAATAACCTTGGCCACAAGCTAATGATGATTCATTTATCTCATGCATATATATGATAAATACACTGAAAAACACGATTCTATGTAGAAGTGTTTTGGTGACTTATAAGCATAAAAGCGTAACATTTTAAACTTTAAAGTGGAATTTTGAATATATTGTATCTTATCGAAGCATGGACCTTGAGAGTTTAAACTTTAAAGGGATTGGAAGAAGTTGAGGAAGAATAAAGGGAGGGGATGAAAGAATGATTTGGGGTCGTTTGGATGGATTAATTGTCAGGATGGTATTTGTAGAGTCAAATATTTTATTAATTTTTATGTGATATTTCAGTGTTATTTCAGTGGTAACTCAATTAAATTATCCGTTTGATAAAACCATGAGTATATGGTATTTTGCTAAAATATAAGGGTAAAATGAGTTATTTTGAAATAAGATAAGGGCATGAGTTATTTCAAGTCATTTTAGTTATTTTGAATATTAATAATAGTTATCATTTAAAAAGATAAAAATATTACTAGCTGATCCGTATATTGATCAATCCCTTATGCTTTGGAATAACCTTGGCCACAAGGTTGATGTTGTAGAGTTCATTGTAAGTATATCACTAATAATCCCCAATTTTGTTGGCTCCATTTCTGTTGACATCAGGTGGACCAACCCATATAATGGAGGCCGCGTCCTGCTTACTCTTGCAATCTTGCTCCTCT